GTCTATTTTCTCTGCCTAGCTGGTTGCAATTCCCATTACTTTAATCATTATATCTATGTAGATGACTAAAATTCTGTGTCTCTAAAACCACCTTACAGTCTTTGAATATCTGCCTCCAGTTGCCTGTTGGAAATTTCCATTCATACAGTCTATAGACATCCGTATTCATCGAGAATATAATTGGTCCCGGTATCTTAACATCTCTGTACACCTCCATAGCTCCCAAATTTGTGTTTTAACTGCCTATTCAGTCAACCAAATCTGTCATTTCAGCACCAAGCTCAATTCTTAATTAGTAACGTGCCTTCCTCCAAAATACCCTGACTGCATTTCTGCTAGGGTCACATGTTCTTCCATGGATACTGCTGCATATTTTTTCCTCTCTTCTTACTTTCCACACAGCTACTAGAATTATCTTTTCTAAATTATGTTTGTTTATATTATTATTCTGTTCAGACTCTTTTGTGATTCCTCATTATTTATAGGACTTATCCCTGGCTTTCTTCAGAATCTATCTCTCACCAGTCCTTCAATCTATACTTTGAGGGAGGTTTTTGTTTTTTCAAAAAGGGAGAATCCCTTATTAATTTAGCATAAAATCAAATTATATAAACTTGGTATATTCCAGAAAATACTGCTTTAAACACTTATACCATAATCAGAATTCCCCTGGTAGCTTTTAATCAAAATAAAATGTGCTATTTTATAAAATATAAAGTACTTTTAAAAGTTGTCACAAAAGTATATTTGTCATTGTTACCATACTAACATCACTACTGAACCTTCTCAATGCTCCACCTCACATGTGTACACAACACAGAGTCAGGTGCCAACAAAATGACCTCTGTGTCACAATGTCAAGACTGAGTCTCCTATAAAGCTCTGTACAGTGACAGGGCAGAGAACAAGGACAGTCCCTGTGAATGACTTTAAAACTAAACAAAACTTTGCTATGGCAACCACACAAATCCTGCAAATAGCAATCGCCCAGACTCAGTCTTATAATGAAAACACTAATATACTAACCCCAAGCCCTTAAACAGAAGTGCACAGGTAACTCGGCTAAACTGAACTGGTGGTGCCAATGGGCTCTGTGTCATGCATCAGACACAAAGTCCTCTTGGCACATCAGGGTTGTCATTTAGAATCCTGATTGTAAGAAACCAGTTGCCAGAGATTCAAACTTCCTGGGAGTACTTGGAACACAGAGGCCAAGGGTGCAGAATAGAGTGGGTGATTTGGACACTGATTGTTTCCCAGTGTCCACCAGCTGAGGGATCTGTTTTCACTCCAAGTGCTCATGGTCAGAGTGCTCCTCTTGGAGAGAATGCAGCATTTAAGGTCTTTCCACTGTGTGCGCACAATCACACACAAAACGAGGTTTGGAGGCTTATTGTTTTTAATCCTTATGGTCCTGGGGCTCAAACCCTGGGCCTGTGCATGGTAGGCAAGCACACTTAACCAATAAGCTAAATCCCAGTCTCTTCCAGTCTATACTTTGATATCAGAATACTGAGAGCTCTCTTACATACTAACCTAAATCTTGACTTTCTGTTCTCTTTTTCTTCATTGCCTTGCCAACATCTTTTAAGTCCAGCTCAACTGCTACTTCTACCTAATTGAAACTAAGCATCCTGTACATTTATCCTCACAATGAGATGAGCATCTTGAGGATGGAGATTATCTTTCCATCTGTGTCCTCTTGGCACTGTCTTAGCTCCATGCATACAGTAGGTTCATATAGATGTTTAGTTGGTCAGTGTATACCACCTTGTTCTATTTATTTTTATTTCACAGTACTAGAGATTGAACTCAGGGCCTTGTGCATGGCAGGCAAGCACTCTACCACTTAAGCCATGCCTCCAGCCACAACATATACCTTTTAAAAAGCCTACTTTAACATCTCTGTACCTCACTACCTTATCTGTCTCCCAGAATTATTGTTAGAATCAGACAAGGTGATGGGGAAAAAGATATTTACAAAATGTTTGAATTTCTATACAAATACAAGGCAATAACTGCAAGAAATAACATAACTTCTCAATGAATTTGATACGTTCCTTGAGATTTGGAAATTTCTTCAAAATCCAAAGTAATTTACAAAGGTTGCATCATTGATCAATTTAATCAGTAATTGTGTGCAGATAGTAGAAAATGAAGGTATTTATAAAGCAGTTGTATGAAATCAGATGACAGAAGTGTGTGGTGTCAGGTTTGGCAAATAAGCGAGTAACTCATGGAATGGTTTCTTTAGAACAATGTTTTCTATAGAACAATTGGGAGAAAATAACTTTATATTGATTGTATGGATGAAGTTCTAATTTTCTGTAGGCTTTAGTTGTAATCCTTATTGAATTTTACTTTATTGATAAGGTAATCTCTGATATTGGATGCTTCCCTTAGTTATTTTCTGTATTCTGCATCATGGCTTCATAAAATATTAAGACTTTCAATAATGCTTACATACTATAAAAATTTTAATTAGTGTCTCTTAATTTTAGTTTTTTTGTTTGTTTTGTTTTTATTTTGGTAGTACTGGGGTTTGAACTCAGAACTTCATATTTGGTAGGCAGATGCTTTATTGCTTGAGCCATATCTCCAGCCCTATGTGCTCTGGTTATTTTGGAGATAAGGTCTTGCTTTTTGCCCAGATCAGCCTGGGCTATGATCTTTCTATTATATGCTTCTCCCTGTAGCTGGGATATCAGGCATTCACCACCGTGTTCAGCTTTTTTCCATTAAGATGGAGGTCCCATGATTTTTTGGTGGTGTTGTACTGAGGTTTGAACTCAGGACCTATACCTTGAGCCACTCCACTAGCCTTTTTTGGTGAAGGTTTTTTTTTGAGATAGGATCTCACGAACTATTTGCCCAGGCTGGCTTTAACCCTGATCCTCCTGATCTCTGCCTTCTGAGTAACTATGGTTACAGGTGTGAACTACCAGCACCTGAGTTTTATTTATTTATTTATTTATTTATTTATTTATTTATTGACCTGGGCTGGCCTGGAACCGAGATCTTCCCCATCTTAGCCTTCCACATAGCTTGGAATGACAAAGGCATGCTACCACACATGGTTGAGATAGGATCTCTTGAACTATTTTCCTGAACTGGCCTCAAACTTCCGTCCTCCTGATCTCAGTCTTCCAAGCAACTAGGATTATAGGAGTGAGCCATTGGTGCCTAGAGTTAATTTTAGTTTTTATTGTATTGTGACAGAGCTGAATTTCGAAATATTTTTCTTTTTAGACTATTCAATTTAAATTGATATTAAGAATTGCTTTCTTCTTAAATATGATGGCACTATACTTTGTAATATTGCCATAGTAATGCCAAATCATATCTCTCTTCTCTCTTTATATAAAAAAAGACAAATTGATCCAAGTAACAAAAAGGAATGGAATAGTATTTAAAATAGTCTTTGTTAAACTTCATAATGTGAGAAGAATTTGCTGTTTACAAGTATTCTGATTGTCTTGGACAGCTGTGATTGAGTCATCATTGAAATCTTTGAAACTGTGTGCTTTTACTGTGGCCACTATAAAATTGAATGGAAAATCCCCCTGTACTACTGTGGAAACTACTTGAAAAACATAAAGGCGTTTTAGAAAGATTACTACGATTCAACTCAGAAGTTTCCTCAGGATTGTTTAAATAATACCATGCTTACTTTCTTTATATTCTTAAAGTATTACAATAAGCCTCTTAGAGGAGGGAGTTAAGGTGTAGGTAGATAGATATACATATGTAATATGTGTATCTGGATTTTATAAAAACATATGTATGTTCTTCATCCCAAAGTGACTCTTTTCTGCCTGCTGTCAAGCTTGTATATTAGGCAATATAATACTGCTTTCAATCCATGAAGTAGAAATTTTTCCATATTTAATTAAATGTAAAAATAATGAAGACAAATTTGTTTTACAGGAAAAAGATGCTTTCCATGTCAAATGTCAATAATATCTGACTGGCCAGTATTTTTTGTTTTGACATTGCTTCCCTTATGTAATTGTCTTAACTCTTAGTGTGCACTCTTGGGCATGGGGTAGTAAGGGATGAGTAACAACAGGATCCTGAGTTGAGTGTCCAGTTTTTAGAGTTGGAGGAAAAGAAAAGTGAGTTGGCAACCTTTGACTTCAAGGTCAAAGGACCCTCCCCGCCAAGTCCTGGGGTTTGAAGCCAGGCCCTTACATTTGCTGGGCATCACTGTACCACTGAACTATGCCCAAAGTTTTTGTTTTGTTTTGACTCATTTTGAGACAAGGTCTCACTATGTAGCATGGGCTGGCCTCAAGCTCTGAATCCTCCTGCTTCAGCCTCTTCAGTGCTAGGATTACAGGCGAGCATCACTATGCCTGGTTTCTAATGCTTTTTATGTGGCTCATATCTTACTTCCTTTAAATTTAAAAAGAGCATATTCTTCCTATAACTAACAGCAAACCCTTATTTTAGAGCAACTGCAGAGTTTTTTTAATTGGACATCTAGCCATTTACTTAATGGTAACAGGAGTGATAGTAGTGATTTTTTTTTATGATAATGGTAGCTCTTAGTTTTTGAGCACTTACTAAACACCAGCTTTGTTGATGAGCTCTTTACCTATCTTATTTTTTCCTCATATACTCTGCAAAGGAGATAGTGTTATCTCATTTAACATAGAGGGACTCTGAACTTTTCAGAGGTAAAATAACTTAATCCAAATTCACATAACAAGTAAGAGGTTAGTTGTGGATTTCAGAGACTGTTCTTTACCCAACCTGATCTCAGCTAGCATTTATCATCTGTACCACAACTGTTAGCACTTGGCAGCATTTTAAAATGTCTCTAAATGACACAAATGAGGGTGGAAAGGGTCTCTGACAAATTCTGAGCAACTTAAGAAAAGAGATTGCCTCACGTGGAGTCGTTTGTGGCATACCCCTTCCCATATCAGTTAAAAAGGGAAAGCACAAAGATCATCAGCACGTGCTGGTTTGACTGACTGAGCGTCTTTGTTGTGCAGGTGGTGAAGCAGTGCCACTCTTCACTTCGCAAACATCACCTACCAAGATGTCCGTGATGCTGCCCTCCACACACTTGGAGAATGACTCTCAGTCTCTGAGCATCAGCACTGCACAGGGGGATATGGAGTCCTCAGGGACAGACACCTTCTGAGCGGGAAGTGAGAAACCAGCAGTGTGTTCATGAGGGCTTAAAACCATCTCTCATTCTGAAAACCACTTCTAATTTTTTATTAAAATGAAAAGTGTAATTCAGATATTTGATAATGTTTTTGAATAAAATATATATAAATCATCATGATTCTGGATGTGAATTATTTCTTAGAAGCCTGAGGTAGAATGGAATAGTGGAAAGGGCGTGGCTTTTGACATCTAAGAGTTTAGTTATTTTACAGGATAATTATCTGTCTTGTGTACTTGTGAAATTATGTAGATAAAGATTATTCTAATATTTTTATAACAGCAAATAATTAGAATTAATCTAATGCCTGTAAATAAGGAACTGGTTTAAACTAATGGTACATTTGTATAATGGAATGCTATGTGATACAAAAAAAGGGTTTTAAAATGTGTACACCACTGAGCTTGGTGGTGCTCACCAGTAATCCTAGCAACTAGGGAGATGGACATAAGAGGATCACAGTTCAAGACCAGCCTGGGAAAAAGTGCAAGACCCTATCTGAAAAATAAACTAAAGCAAAAAGGGTTAGGGGTGTGGCTCAAGTAGCAGAGCATTTGCCTAGCAAGTGCCAGTCCCTGAGTTCAAACCCTATTACTGCCAAAAAGAAAAAATCTCACTGATACAGAATTATCAGTTAAGTTACACACTGTTAGTAAGAAGAAATAGCTATGTGCAAAATGGTGTGTGAACTATATTGCTATTGTTTAAAATGAGGTGGGGAGAGCTCCAAATATATGATCTCTACACACATAGGCAAATGTGTATTTGCTTGTGTGTGCATTAAATACCTTTGGAAAGATAAAAAAGAAACTACTGACTTTTCATCCAGGGAGAGAAACTGATAGCTAAGTGATAGGAGTAAGGATAACTTTAGTTACTGAGTATTTGAACTTCATTCACGACAGGAAAACATGATGAATGAGGTTAATCCTTTATGGGCCTTGTGTATACTTCATAAACCTGTGAAATGTGACAGTATTAACTGTTAAAACATAAATACATACAAAAGAGTGAAAGACCAAGACTTTGTAATCAGACATAGGTAGGTTTTAATTCTAGTTTCTTGCTCTGTGATGGGCAAATCAGCCCCTTCTTTTCAGTTGTCTTGGGTTAATGGGTTTAATAATTGTTTTTTTCAGAATAATGGAGGTTATGATAAGGAGTTTACAGGGCAATGGGGGTGGGGGATTTGCCCACAGCAGTGCTTGGCAACAGGTGAACACTCAGTAGCCAGTATTCTCCTGAGGGGTTTCAGTGTCATAAACCAGAAGGTAAAAAAAGCACATGAAAATTACAGTCTAGTGTTAGCAAAAAGTTCATCTTCCTGAAATACTACTGTCTGTCACCACTGAAGTCCAAATACAGTCATTCTTGGCTTTTCTCAGCGTTTTTCTAGGTTCCTTCATGGGTCTCAGCCCTGGCTGCATGCACATTAGAACCTCTGGGAACTTAAAAAAAAAAAATACTAATGCCTGGACTACATACCAGGGATTCTGGTTTAATTGACCTTGGGTGGGATCCAGGCAGTGGAAATAAAAATGAAAAAGACCTTTTCAGTCAATTTCAGTGTGTACTCAAGGTTGAAAATTACTGAAGAACCATTTAGAAGTCCCTAAACTTCTAAAAGGACCCGGGGCTGGGTATGTCTTCTCTCTGCATACAGAAACCAGTTGGAAGCTTAGAAATGTGTGCGTTTCCCTCATGTCCTAGCTCCTTGAGCTTTTCTCGGGAATTTGGTTACCAGAATGCTTTAAGTTTTACTTTATAACCTGTTTTCTTTACTAGGGCACTTTGCTTGAAATAGTTTCCTTTGAACTAGTGGAAGAAAAATGTTGCTCTGTGGCCGTTGGTTTGGTGCTCATTGGCAAGTCTCTGGGTCAGGAGAAAGCTGGAGAAACCTGCTTAAGTGCTGTGTCGTTAAACATTACCTCCTTGCTCTCAGGTTCTCAAACGTTTTTCTTTTTAGGAATGATTTTAGCAAAATCTTATTATGTACAAAAACATTTCTTATTTAAAGGTGTTGGTAGTTCCCCCCAACCATAGAAAGCCTACCTTATCTAACTTTAGGGTGAAAAGTCATTGATTGATTCCACTTTTTGGGCACTTGAGCATTTTGAGCATTTCTTAAAAAAATTTTTTAAATGGCCAGGGACTGGTGGCTTCCACCTATAATCCTAGCTACTTGGGAAACTGAGATGGGGAGGATCAAGGTTCAAGGCCAGCCCAGGTAAATAGTTCTTGAAACCCCATCTCCAAAGTAACCAGAGCAAAATGGAGTGGAGGTGTGTCTCAAGTGGTAGAACGCCTACTTTGCCAGCACAAAGCCCTGAGTTCAAAGCCCAGTCCCACAGGAAAAAAAAAAAAAGCATCTGTTCTTCAGTATTGTGTTTTAAGGAATTATTCCTGTTCAGGGTTACTCCTACATATATTCCTCCACCAACCTTCTTCACATCCTCTTGGAATAATATGATGTGTGTAAATTAAATGGCATTACTGATTTTATAAACCTTAAAAGATTCACTTTATATTTAATTGATAGTTTTCAATTAAACTAAGATGTTGATTCTGTCAATGTCTAGGCTGATATTGCTGGAATAACTGCCTTAACCCCAGGGTAACGTATTTAAAGTTTCCTTCAGTTTGGATCCTAAAATAAATTTGTTCTTTGTATGCTTTAATAGCATACAAATACTGAACAAATATTTTATTTTCAGAAGATGATTATTTCAGTAAATTTTTATTTACATATTTCTGGTATCTTAACTTTTGCTTTTTAAATAAACATAAATCTTTATATCTCTTTTGTTGTTTTTTTACTAAAAAACTCAAAGCTGGTACACACCTGTAATCTCAGCAACCTGGAGGCTGTTCTGGGCCAGCATGGGTTTTATACATAATGAGACCGTGTGTCAAACACACACACAAAAACAACACCCCCCCCAAAAAAAACCCTCAAAACATTTTTCTAAAAAAGCATTTCTGAGTTCATAGTGAACTACTATTCCCAACCCAAAAATATTCTATTGTTGAAACATTTTTTTGTCTTTTAAAAGTTGCTGTGCTACTATAATATCTCCTTATAGCTGAGTAACCTGAATGGTAATGATGAGTAGAATCCTTAAGATTTCTGCGAATCTAGTGAAATGGAGTCATTGAATATTCTTTTCTTCCACATAATCCATATGTGCCTCTGTTTAATAGAAACTCAGTAGGAAGACATTGGGTGTACAGTGTAGTGTGGGTCCTTGGGGTGAGGGGTGTGCATGTGGGGCAGCCATGCAAGGATTTCTCATTCCCCACTTTGGATCTTCTACCTCTACTGGAGTACAGGTTGGCCATAAGGAATTCATTAGAATTATCATTTGATCATCAAACATAAATTGACAGTAGTTTTAAAGGCCCCATTAAAAATGCATTAGAGAAAAGCAAATAGAATTATTATGATGAAAAATCCTGTCATTATAGTTCAGAAAATTTCATGAAGCCAGTCTCAGACTGTCAAACCTTTGAGAATAATCAGCCTATGTCTGGGTTGTGTTTTTTTTTTTTTCTTTTTTTAAGATATTTTTTCTTATCCTGAAATGTTTGCCCACAAACAATAGGAAATATTAGACAGTACAGATTTCCCCCTTTTGACACCAGTAAATATTGTTAAAGATACATGATGGTCCATTAGTTATCAAGACAGCAAGCAGATCACAGCTGGTTTGGGGGGGGGGTGCCTTTATATTGTGAATGGTTACACTTTTCATTTCAGACATAGTTAAGGGTAAGTTACTCAGACATCTCTCAAATGCAGAGGTCCCTAACCAAGGTTACAAACTCAAGCAAATCAATGGACTGCTCTGACTTCTGAGAATCACTCCTATGAGACTGTAAAGGAACTTAGATAAAGAGACTGAACAGAACTTAAAATCTTCAAAGTTGCTAGTTCCAGGAAAGGTTCTTGGTATACATACAGGTCACAGGTAAAGAACAGGCCTAGCACTGCTTAACTGATTCAATCTATATGTAAAGAGTTGAAAGTGTATGCCTTTTTTCTCTGAATTATTATAACAAACAGTGATAACTACTTCAGTTGATACTTTGTGTCCTTTTCATGGACATTCTTCTGTTTTTTTCACAAGGTGTTCCATTACAAGTAAGAATATAAGTTGTAATCTAAGAGGTATTTCTGCTATCAGAGTGGTTGGTTGTATGGGATTTCTTGGTAAATATGCTTATTTACTTCGAGCATATTCCCCAATAGTTAAATGGGTTAATGAAAAAATCATAGAAACTCAGGATAATTCTAAATTCTGATTGTGGTGAATTTTCTCTCTGTCTATAATATTGGCCACATTATTTCTACATAATTATAACAACCAGGCTGAGTGTCTGAGCCTAGAAATATTTTTGGTGTATGTTCTAAAGTATATAGGAGATGTTCATATCATGTACTTTATGGGGTTATTTGCTAATATTAAGCAAAGGTATTCTCATGACTTTTTTTTTTCAGTGTAGGAATTGAATTCAAGGCCTTATACATAGTAGGCAAGTGCCTTAGCACTGAAATACTCCTCCAGTCCTACTCCCATGATTTGACTGATTCTGGAGGTTAGAAATGGGTAACAGTTCCAGTAAAGTCAATTAGCAGCTGAAGCTATGGTCTCATACTCTTAACAAAGAAGAGGAAATCTGTTTGTTTCAAGAAAGGACTAGAAAAATAAAAATAGTCATAGAGAAGGAAAGCAATAGCCCATAGTTACGTATTCACAATCTTATGAGGAAGTTAGTCAATTTTGGCATAACAGAAAGTTCTGGTTTCCATCATTGTTTGGGGGGAATTTGTACTTCTGTGGTTGCTTGATCCTTGAAGCCATTAGCTTCTAGAGGCTTTTTGTCAGCCTCAATTTGGCTCATTCATGAAAATGAAAGTCCATTGAGCCAAGTTAGAAATTTGTTTTCATATGACATCTGAACTCATGGGTTAATTGTACCTGTTGTCAAGAGGACCTGAAATGGCTCCTTCCAATATCATTCTAAAACAATTT